AGACAATTAATTACTTTATCTATCAAACTGAACAGAAAGGCTTGTGCTATACCTAAATATTGATTATGGTAATGATCTCGTATGGAGAATATATGGCTACTCCACTCCTTTAGAAGAATATGTTTTTTTAATTTTGCTTGTGCAAGCAGTATCCTCGTGTAACGCTTCGGTTTCAAATCAGTGGTTTTGCAGATGTCTTTGATGTTGACTACTTCATTCAACAGATGAATGGCTTCATCAAAGTTGTCAAAGAGTTGCCGTCCGATATTTCATATAAAGAACCCTTCCATGTAGATTGCAGCAAACGCAAAGGCCAATTTGATTACATCGAAAGTGTTCTTCCGTCGCTACTAGAGCATCATTACATTTCAATCACGCCAGCAATGAGCCAAAGAAGGGATAGGTATTTCAACATTATTCATTTCTGTTCTTATATTTGGGTGTTTAGAAATTACATTGGAAGACTTGGTACTGTGAATAGGTACCACCTTTTTTGGTAAAGGCCAATAAATGTGGTAAAAAACTTACCATCAAGGAGTAAAAGTCAACTTGAAAATGTTGGTTAGTTTGTTAACTTGAAGGTTGTTAGCATATAGAAAAGTTTCTTGATAAATCTGTAATGTGTAAGATGCTTATTATCATCACATTGGATTTGAAATTTGATTCAATATGAACAGCGGCCTGTTTGATTCATATTCCAAAAATTAAGATACCATGCAAAAAAATCGGTGGGATTCTCAGTCTTTTAAATATATGGAAACAAGTTTGGTATTAATATGAAATTGTTTTCAAATTCCATATAGTTGGTATTGGCTTATGAATCCTCAATGTAGGGCTCAGTGAGGCATACATTTGGGGCTATGGTCACGTCCAAAATGTGTGGCTTTGGGTTAGAAGACTCGGTTTCAGGGCTTGGGTTCTGTGGCTGTGGTTTTGGGCTTGGGTTCGAGCCGGGGTTCGCTACTTGGGTTATGGGTTGAGGTCTGTCGCTTTTGGCTCAAGGATCTGGTTTTGACTAGGTTTAGGATCCGGGGCTCCAAGACTTGGTCCAGATATGGGGGTTGGGTATTAGGTGAAGATCCTGAGCAGAAGACTAGGTGTGGGGTCTTGGGCTTGTGTTTGGGTTTTGATGCTCTAAGTCTAAGCCGAAGTCTAAGGTTTGAGATTCATTCTTAGGCTTTCGGTTTGGTTTTGAGGTCTTTTCTGAGGCATGAAGCCTGGCTTGGGCATGCATTCTTTATTTTGGACTCAGGTTCACGGCTAGGGGCCGAAGTTTGACGTTTGGTACTCGAGTCCAAGGTCAGTGGTATGGGATACGAGCCTGGCTCTGGTGTTCAGGAAAAGGCCCTCCTAGATCCAAGGTTCAGAGCACTAGGTTTAGGGCTTGAGTTAGTGATCTGTTGTCTCGGGCTTAGTGTTTGGTTCGGAGTTTTGGGATCTAGGCCCCTGTTCTGGTTTACAGATTCACGGGGGGACTTTGTATTTGAGGTCGGATGTTTTGAGTCTCTTTGGATACAATGTTTTACAAAATGTTGAAACAACTTTTTTTTGCTTTTTCAGAACTTCGGTTATTTTTAGGTCTATATGAAACAGTCTGTCAAAGGCTCCTTTGTTATTCTTATATATACATATATATATATAAAGATTTATTGAATGCCTTGTTTTAAAAAAAGCCAAAAAAGAAATGGAAAAAAAAAGGTTTTGGGTTGCAAACCAAACAAGCCTTATTCTTGGTTATTATTTATTTTTTAGTCTGAATAAACATTTGTAGTTTCATGACTGAAAAACATATGCATAGCTTTCGGATGTTACAACTGCTGATCTTTAAAGTACACTGATACCGTTTTGTCTTCTGTACTATGTAGGTATCCTCAGTATGCAAAAGCTTCCCTTTGTCAAGCTTGTTACAGTGCATTACGCCTCACCAAATCCCTGGAGAAGAAAGCCTCCGAGCTTCTTGAAGCCATACCTAAACCTTTTCTATCACTTCACCTTCGGTTTGAGCCTGATATGGTAGCTTACAGTCAATGCGAATACCCAGACCTTTCTTCTGCCTCCATGGAAGCCATTGAAGCAGCACGGGGGCATAGAAAACCATGGACTGGAGAGGTGGCCCAAATTTGGAGGAAACGAGGGAAATGCCCTCTTACACCTAATGAGACAGCCTTCATACTTCAAGTGCTTTCCATCCCAACAACCACAAACATTTATCTGGCTGCTGGGGATGGTCTGATGGAAATTGAAGGATTAACATCTGTTTACACCAATGTATTTACCAAGTCTAGCCTTCTTAGTGGTGAGGATTTCAAAAGCATGCATGGGAACACAAAAGCTGCATTGGATTACTACGTTTCTATCCACAGCGATTCGTATATAGCAACATATTTTGGAAATATGGATAAGATGGTTGCAGCAATGCGAGCCTTTAATGGCTTGTACAAGACTCTTTTCTTAAGCAGAAGAGCTTTTGCAGAATTCACTTTTCAAGGTTTGAGAGGGAAGGAATTGATGAACGCTCTATGGAAGGCCCACAGAGATGATTTTGCCATGGGGAGAGGATCTGCTTTGCCTCATTGCTTTTGTGAGTTCAAATTATGATTTCAGATCCCAATTTGGTCTTTGCTTCCTTCCTGTTGTTTTTTTTTTACCCTTTAATTCATTTGTGTAATTGCTATTACTAATGTACTATACAAGAACCTTTCTGGATGCCCGTCTCTCCTACCCTGGAATTTGGTAGGATCAGTATGTTCATCAATGTAGACAGACACCAACTCTTGATCAAAAAAATTAAAATTAAAAAGGAGATATTGACTGTAAGCCAACTCTACGCAAGATCTACATTTACATCGTTGGCCAATTCTTTGACAACCTATGCTTTACAGGTTCAATATTATTTTAACTTGGTATCAGAGCTCTAACATTGTATTATGGGTTTGAAATCTTATCATTAATTATGGTTAAACAAACTACAACTAGGAATGGGTGATATCCTTAATTAGCCACAGTTTGGTGTAAAAGAAGACCTTCATGCTTGGTACGAGTACTTGGTTATACCATGGTTAGGTTATAATGTACTTAGATGACATTATAATGTAAAATTATTTGCATAGACTTTTACAATTCATGTATGCAAATATTTTTTCTTTGGTCAATCATGTACGCAAAGATTTTGAACAAGAATGAAAGGAATAAAACAAATGAATTTCAAATAATTTCTTGCATGCAGATCATTTCAAATGTACTATATCTTTCATTCTCTGTTTTCCTAGCTCCTAGCTATTCATTCCCCTATGGTCTAGGGTAACAAAACTATCAAATTTCAAAGCTACATATATATGCTGCTGATCGTACTTATCTTGAGGGTATAATTTGTCTTCCTACACTGCATGTCTTTTGTAGTCATGTTTGCATAGTTATAATTATATATTGAGATAAAGGCTACTTCAAATTCAAACTACTCTCACAGTGTAGAACTTAAAAATGACACATTGAGAACATGAACAATTACGGCTTCGACATCGCTCATGGTTTTGATGCTGATAGAGGAGGAGGTGGTGGAGTTGGAAACATTGGAGGAATTGCAGAGAACATGGTGTTTTTGTCAATCCCATCAGTTCGATCTCCTGACAAAGCAACAAGAGCTGCCACTAAACCTGCATTTCCCACAAGAGTAGGCTCGGTGTAATTGTAATTAGCACGAACATCATGGAAGCCGTCATGTTTGTCCGGACCAGCAACCATGGCGCCAACAATTGTATATGGGTTTGGCTTTAAACTGTCCCTCCATTTCCACCCACCTTTACAACTGTATTTAATCTTCTTCTTAGGAATAGATGCGCCCCTATGGTGGACATGTTTCGGAAAATGGTTACCAAAGCCCACAACATAGCTCATTTTCTTTGGATTTTTTCCAAGGATGTAACCAATTTGGGTTTGAGCAAAATCTCGCAAGACATCAACAGAGAAGACGTTGGGTCCACAATGCAACCCGGCTGGTTTGTCTGCAGCTTCGAGATAATCACTGTAGACAGTGGCTAAGAAGGCTGCATTGACTACATACTCAAGAGGTCGCGGCCTTCGAAGATGTCCACGATTCAATTGGATCAAGCCCCCTCTTGTTCTGTTAAAGATTGTGAAAGCTGGTAGGTATGAGCACATGATTGTGTTGGTCTCGTTGTGAAATCTCCTCAAAGTTGTTTCGTATGAGATTCAAGAGTAGCCTCAAACGGGTCAGAAGCACCTAAATAAAAGAGTACTAATCATAAATCGCATCAACATAACATATTGAAACATGAACACCACTTATTATATATAGATAATATGTACCTGAGCACCAACAAGCTTATTGTCCCAACTCAATACTCCATGATTAGGCCAGTATTGATTAGGCGCCTGGGAGAAGGTAGCGTGTTTGGCAAGAGCAGGTGTTGTTGCCAACTGAAGATAAGAGGAATTGCCTGTGGCGTAGTACAACCAAGTGCTGGCCCATAGGTATTCATCCCAGTAACTGGTGGAGTTATAGAAGAGTGCTGCATCCGAGCTACCAGAACTATAACGGCCTCTCGAATCCCTTGAAAATTTGAAGAGTGTTTTGGCTCCATGGACGAGCTTTTTTGAGTAGGCTCTGTTGTCTTTGAAAACAATGGATGCAGCGGCTAGGGAGGCAGCCATTTCCGCAGCAAGATCAGAGCAAGCGTGGCATTCGGTCACCGGACGAGTGTAATCTATATCTTCAGGACGCATCCAGCAATATATATCGTTAGGAGTAGTGTCTTTTCCTCCATCCATGTTCCCCAAACCAACCTGTCAAAATACACAGCAAATTAGTAAAAAAAAAACGAAGAAAGTTTAGTGCTATATATATATACACCTGGGAAACGATCCTGTCAATGGTATCAGCTGAATTGTTGAAGGTCTTGAGGAAGTAATCGGTGCCCCATTTGATGACGTCTTTAATGTGGGCGAGTTCTTCAGCAGCTTCGTATTTCGCATTGTATTCAATAACGCTCCAGCTGAGCATAGTCATGGCGAAGGAATTAGGGAAGTTGAACTTGATGGCATTTCCGGCATCGTAGTAGCCGCCCACAAGATCACTTGTCAGAGAACCGGAGGCGGAGGGTTTGCCATCTGTCAGGCAAGAATCACCCCTCCATGACACATGGTTATGGTCTGAGAGTTTTCCTGATCGCTGGGCGTTGAAGAACATCAGAGCCTTGTGGAGCGCCGAGGTGTAGCTGTTTGGGGAAGGAGTTGGAGGGCTTGTGTGGACAGTCGAGGCTGTGAGGAAGGTGGCAACTAGGAGCATCATTGCCGCGGTGTCGCGACGTACGATGATGCATGTCAACTGATGATGATGCATCCTTAATTAGTTCTTACTTGTCTTGGAAGAGGAGGAAGAGATTTCACCACAAGCCACACCACACAAAGCATGCATGCACAAATAAGATGTGAGGGTTTTGAAATCATCAGAAAAATCATCAAAAGAAACAAAGTCAAGTAATAGGGGGAAAGTTCATTTTAATTGGTTTGAGTAAGTTGACTGGATCTTAGCATCTAGAAGTTGTTAAATGTTGCTCTCTCATGAAATGTCATCAATTTTAAATATGGTTTGAGTCCTTGGCTGGATCTTAGCTAAAATCTAAGAGGTGATTAAGAAACTGATTAAATAACGAGAAAAGTTATCAAAGAAATGTAATAAATTTTAAAAATATATTAAACCCATCGAGATCATGTTTGATTACGCCCTATCTTTCTTAAGCAGGAGAGCAGGCTTTGAGATCTTCTCGTCAAAAAATGTAATAAATTTTAAAAATATATTAAACCCATTGAGATCATGTTTGATTACGCCCTATCTTTCTTAAGCAGGAGAGCAGGCTTTGAGATCTTCTCGTCAAAAGTCAACCCCAGCATGATCCACAAATCACTCTTCCTTGATGACTATTGATTAATTATGATTCTAACTAAATCATTGCCCATATGTATGTGTATATCTATTAATTGTTGTTTCCATTGTTCTGCTGTGTATATAATCAATTACTCATGTAATGAGTGTGAAAACCATTTCAGTCAAAGCCAATCTTAGGCTCGTTTCGGAGTAATTCTAGATAGGCCAATAATCACTTCTCCATATGTATTTTAACAAGTTAACATACACTCAAAACAAAAGGAAGAACAGTGTATATGTAACTGACGTAAAACTAACCTATGAAACCACTTCCTTTATGGCTTCACCACCCTGCAGTAGAATTGACTATCATCCTTCCTAGCCTGGCAACCGAAAAAGAGGAGCATACTGTTAACACTATCACAACCAAAATCGCATTATTTGCCTTAAAGAAAAACAGAAATAGTAAAAAGAAAGACAGAAAAGATCACAAACAGACACACTGAGTTTGTCACATACCTCAAAAGGAAAGTCACGTTTGATCCAATATCCTGCTGACATGCATGATTGCTTTCGTATGTAATAATTAAAGCTAATCTACAAGTATACTGAACTATTTGTACTTGAGCGTCACCAAACTGCATTCACAAACACCATAAGGTAGGATTAATCTATGATCAAAGAAAGCAACCTTTGGCTCGTAAGTCCGAAGTGTTTGGTCTGTTAAGAATACCCTTACCAAAATATTTGTATATAGAGTCAAAGAAACTCTTTTGGATCCTCGAGAGCCAATTCTTATGATGGATTTATCAAGTCATCATGTCCACAAAATGTCTAAATGACCCTCATTTATGTTATGTAACCACTCAATGTATCATGGAGTGGAAAAGTGACTTCCGTTGTAGCGCTAGCTTACCTCAACTGACAACTCACTGGCCAAAAAAAAAAAACAAAAACAAAAACAAAGATGATGTTCTTCCTCTATGTTTTTATGTCTGTAAGATCCACTTCTTGGTCTTGAGACTTAAATTCTTCAACCAATGACTGCAGAACAAGTGTAGCTTCAGATGGTCTTCCTTGATGTAAGTAATCATCTAATATGAGCGAGTATTTTAAAGAAGTTTGGAGTTCCTGGTCCTTCAAGTCAAAAGAGATGATATTCTTCCATTCCTTGGATCTTCCTTCCAAGCAAATACCATAAAGCAGACCAGCAAAAGAAACAGAATCTAGAAAGATACCCTTATTTACAAACTTATCACACAACTGTAACGCAGTTTTAACCATCCCATTATGGCAAAGGCAAATGTTAATGGAATTATACACAGCAGCCTTTTGGGACCAACCATCTGATATCATCCTTCCAAAAAAACCCAGAAAAATAGATTTCTCATTTTCTTGAGACTCATGCACTTCCTCCAAAATTGCACCAGGTTCATTATTTGTGAACCCATTGACCAGATAATGGAAGGTAACATCATTAGGAATGCACTTGTTCTTTAGCATTAGTTCAAAAAAGGAGACTGCTTTTGCAAGTTTACCTTCCTTGCAAAAGTTTCCAATAAGTATGCTGTACGTGACTACATTTGGCTCCATACCACAAGATTGCATCTCTCTGAAAGTTTTTACAGCTCCACGGGAATCTCCCTTGTGGAAAAACCCATATATCAAGGAGGTGTACGTGACCACATTTGGCTTGCATCCCTGTTTGATCATCAGTTCAAACAAATTCAGAGCAGCATCCAAGTTATGCTGTTTGACATACCCATCAATTATTGTTGAATAAGTGAACTCATCAGGATGATGATGATGCACTTCCCTCATTTTTTTAAAGCATGACAGTGCATCCTTCATCATTCCAAATTTGCAGAAACCCTTAATCATGGCATTGTACCCCACAACACCAGGGTCTAGACCCTGGTCAATTGTTAACCCAAATAGTTTCTTTGCCTCGTCAAGGTCGCCATTTCTGATTAACCCATCTACCAGAGTGGCATAAACAAATGCATCTGGTGGTATATTTTGGTCAAGCATCTGAGCAAGCAGCAGCTTGGCAGTAGAAAGCCTCCCTCTCTTGCAAAGGCCACTCATCAAAACATTGAAAATGCCAGCATCAGGCACTACTCCATTTTCCATCATTCTGTCCCGGACTGTCAATGCAGTATCAACTTCCCCAGAAACAACAAGTCCATGGATGAGAGCTCCATAAGAAACCAAATCAGGTTTGTGTCCCCTTTCTGTTATCTTAGTAAATATATCCAATGCCCTACAGTGTTCCCCTTTTCTGAAATATACATGAAAAAGAGGAGTATAACTAAACTTATTTGGCACTAATCCCCTTTCCATTGCGTTGTTTAAAAACTGCTCAGCTTCCTCAACCTTCCCATCCTTACATGAACTATTAATCAAAATATTGTAGGTCGTAATATCTGGCTCACAACCACACTCAATCATCATTGTTACAGACTCCACTCCTTTAGCTGAGCTACCGTGTTTACATCTAGCATCAACAATACTATTATGTACTTGAACATTGATAGTCAAGCCTCTCTCCTTCATTTCCATCAAAAGTCGATCAATCGCTTTAAAGTTTCCTTCTTTGCAGTACCCATTTATCATAGCTCCATAAGTTTCCAACGTGGGCAAAAACCCCTTCAACTTCAACTCTTTAAAAAGCCGATTAGCATTTTCGACATCACCTTTCTTACAATATCCATCAATAAGTGTATTGTAAAAAACAACATTTGGTACACAACTCTCTCCCCACCTATCCTCAATCAACTTTCTACCTTCCTCAACTTTCCCTGCCTTACACAAACCCTTCACCATGATACAAGTACTATAGTTATCCATACATACATGATCACCACCACCTTTCTCAGCCATTTCATCATACACCCGGTGTGCAACATCAACTCTCCGATTCTTTACAAGCACGTTTAGCAATGTATTGCACGCAAAAACATCCGGAACACAATCATACACTTTAACTACAAAACAATAAAAGTCAAGAGCCTTATCAACGAGCCCAGAATCTGCATATGCGCGAAGTACAAAACTCAACGCATCAATGGTCGGCTTTACTTCTTCAAATTTCATTTGCTCCATTACCAATTCAATCTCCGAAAGCACTTTAAACCTCGCCAAAAGCTTCAAAAGCGAAGAGTACGCAAACCCATCTGGAGAGCAGCAATACGGTCGCTTAAAAGCCCAATCAAAGAACTTCAAACCCAATTCTACATCATGTATTCGGTCCAAAACGAAATGGGCAACGTCGGAAACAAGCGTTTCGGTTTCAGAGAATTGGGTTGCAAGAGATTGTTCCCACTGGTCATCGGCTCTGAGGATTTGGATGGTGTCATTGACTAGCCTCTTGATGTGGGGTGGTGAAGAAGAAGATAAAGAAGCGGGCTTTGGGTTGTGGAGGGGTTTGATGCGAGACAGAAGGGTCTTCGACATGTGAGAGTCTGAACAAGTTTGGAGTTCCTTGAGGGTTTGGAGGTGGTGTTCTTGGTATAGAAGAAGATTACAGTCAGAATCGGTGCACGCATTTGTTTGAACAAAAAAAGCGCCAAGTTTGATTTGATTTCCATGGCTTTGGATTTTGAAGGTCCCGAAAACGGTCAAGTCGACAGTATTCTATTGTCGTTTCTTGCTCTAAACGACGACACCATTTTTACAGTCTTGAGAGTTCAGTAATTATTTTGTTACCATGAAGTTCATATTTAAGGTAATTTCGTTTTTAGTTTTCAGCTTATACTCTTTTAGCTAGAGATAAAAGGGAAAGTACTTGAAAAAGAAAATCACTTAAAATTGTTTCCATTTTATGTACCATTTTAAATGTATTTCTTCCATATCTCTCCCTTCCTCTACGATTTGCTTTATATCTCGCTTCTTGTATATGTTTTTTTCTCTATTTCTAACAAAAAAAACAAAACAAAATGATTATCAAACGAGCTCTTCAACTTTTTAAAACACTCTCGCCAAACAATGAACCTGCAACTCGCGTGGTAAAAAACACTCTCAACAAGCATGGGCTCGTGCTGCCAGTTGACATGTTATATTAACTAAGTAAAAAGTTATGTAGGAATCATATTTCCAAAAAAAACTATTTCCTAAACCAAACGAGATATGAGACTCAATCCCTTCCTTCTGTTTCCTGGCTGGATGGATTAGTTATTCCGAGTCTCAAAACTGCAAAAGTGGTCTTAGATTGGGAAGTTGGTTTTGCTTTCATCTATTGGCATTATCTGTCACTTTTCTTTCCCATCTTCCTAACTCCATAACATACAAGGTAAAGGAGAGGCTACTAAATTATACGAAAGCCTTGTTGAAGGGTCATTTTGGGCATATTCGAGCTGGGGTTGCTATCAGGCATCACCAATCAAATACTTCTCATTTAGATGAATGTCACCGAAACTCTATAGGTAGCTCTAAGTCAAGTCTACAATTTGGAACCAAAACAAATTTATACCAGCAACACGCATTTGTCTAGAAGACGATTTATTTCCAAGAATGGCAAAGGCAAGAACCAACAAGAGAGAGAGCTCTATATCAGTTAATTTACAATTGGAAAGCTCTACCATAGACAAAGTTACTTAACTTCCTAGGCAGCGCCAGTATTTAAGAATCGAGGTTGAGCAGTCAATAGCAAGCCTGTTCTCACCTATCAAGAGTGGTTGGTAATGGTTAAACCATCCGAAACTGCAGAGCAATCACTAAAACTCCTCCGACACAAGAATTCCAAGAGCTGAAGAAAGATCTGCTATCTAAGCAAAGGAAACACACCACAATAACTTAGGCAGGACAAGCTCCAGCTCATGATGCAGCAACTCAACTTCTTCCTTTTGCCTCCAAAGGTACCAAATGAAGCGTAATGAATCAACTCCCACCTTGGTGCGTTCCAATTTCCCTTGCCACAGAACAGTTTAAGCCAACATTCTGATCAGAGACATAATCCAATGTACCTTAAAATATAAAGAAACACATCTAGCAATCACTTTGCTGCTGAAGAACTGCTACACACGTGACATCAATTCTCGACCAAATGACCCCCCCAATAAAATTCACTTTAACCAGCTGTTCCTACAGACAGAGACACACAAACGTACGCACATACACACCCCACCAAATCAGAAAGGCAAGGAAAGCTATATATCAAAGACATACACACAACAAAAGAAAGGGCACACACACACACAACAACACCAGATAAAAAAGAGTCAAGCTATCTATAATAAAAGGAAGTTCTTGACGTTGGGCCCACTGACAGATTTATTATCCTTACCTGAAGAAACTATGATGCACCTTGAGGAAGGGAGGAAGAAGATGTTTGAGGATTTTCTGTAAAATATAGCTGAATAAATATTTGATTATATTGTGGGAAGGTGAGAAAAACATTATACTTATACCAAATCAGAATTTATATGCAACGAAAGTCTATCCAATTAGCCCGGCAAGTTATTATTTATGAGAATTTTTTTATTTTTATTTTATGGATTTCTTATGAAGAAATATCTCAAAAGGAACATCACGTTATGCTTTCATCAGGTTCCTCCTCCTTTTTCTTTTTCAAATAAGTTTTTACCCTGTTCCTCCCATGAAAGACAGGCTAAATGATATGGTTAACCTTTTAAAACACTCAACAATACAGATAAATCTTTTGCTAGAGAGTAACCTAAAAGTGTGCATGAGAACTTGGATAGGAGGACTTCAGAAATTTCCTAAAGCCAAGTAGCGATATGAGAATAAAAACATCTCAAGCAAAAAACGGTCCCATTCATAAGAATAAAAGCTCTAGTTCTTCTGGAGTCAGACTCCAAACCATGGACTGCAGACAATATAAACTAAGTTGTTTAAATAAGTACTGCAACTGAATCCTCTCTTCATTTGTTGATATCTTTTTTTTTTTTTCTGGAACTGACACTCGATCTTTTCACAATCCATATTTCAGTCCATCTAACAACACTATCAGTCCCCAGAAGAAAAAAGAAACTAAAGGCAAACACTAGCTGTGTGCTGACCTCACACTATAAGAAAACCATGCATGGGGACACAAACAAGTCTGTAGATGTATTTCAACATATATATAGACAACCTTTAAATTAGCATAGATATTCATTAGTGTGTAAGCAACATTTGACCCAGTATATGTTCATTAGTGTGTACATATCATATACAAATGTGCATATCCTATTCTCTATCTTCCTCGTTTAGAGTATGCTGCAGCAACCCCCCAGTCACATCAGATAACTTATCATTTTGCTCATGTATGCCTAAATATTACCTATCATCCATTCAGCATGTACTTTGTTAATCATCAAAAGGTTTTGTACATACATTCTGTAAAAGAATAATCCCCATATGTTACTCACCTTACTTCCGGTCCATTAAAGAAATTGGGTAAAATGGTCAAGAAGGTCTGGCAAGTTTGGGACATAAGAACACCATTCCCAATTTTGCAGAGTTAGTCGTTTAAAACCACCACAGCTACTAATTATGACCAACTAATTGTTAAGAATCCAATGTCTATAAACTAACCATCACTCTGACCATCGGCCATCTTATATCCTTATGTGTTACTTTTAAATAACAAGTTTCGTACTTGTAAGGTCTTTAATTATAATAAAAGGAATTTGATTTAGATGGATGTAATACTAATAAATAAATAAATAAACACTTGTTTCATCATCATTCAAATAATTTGAAATTACCGAAATAAGCATTTAATAATATTAATATCTAATGGGTAGGACTTTGCCATTATTCCCTGACCCTTCTGTTCTGCACCACCAAAGCTGAAAGCATTGAACAAACAATCAAAATCATAGAAGCTAATGACCCAACAGTTGAAAAGAAGAGCTGACTACAGCATTAGAGGGGAGCCGTTGCAGAATGAACTTACAACAAATTTGGGTGATAGCTGTCCATTCAGTGCTCCATTTAAATTGAGGTGGTACTACAAATTATTGAAGAAATGAGGATGTCCCTTTCGTATGATTAAAAAAATTCATGTCAATTGTTCTGCAAATTTACAAATGAGTGGGGGAAAAAGAATACTAGCTCTTGTTGAGCTGTCCAGTTACATAATCTACCACTTCTCAGTTTTCCAGTCCCTCATCTTAATTCAACTCTTGCTCAGTATGGTTTGTAAATCCCCCAATTGTTTTGAAGAAAATGGAGGCACCCTTTTCCGAACCAACATCATGACTGCCTTAGCCTTACCAAGCTGCTTGCCCCTCTTTAGGCCTTCAAGCAATGCATGAATGGTATCCACATTCGGATACCAATTCTTTTGCATGCAGTCTTTACACATAGTATATGCCAAATCAAAATCCCTTCCTTTACAAAGATAATGAATCATGGTCTGATAAATTTTGATATTTGGCTTGTATCCCTTTCCATGTAGAGCAGAATACACCCTTTTAGCCATTTCAAGATACCCGGCCTGGAAAAACCCTTTGATCACCAAATTATATGTGACCTCATCAGGTGTTATCCCAACATTCTGCATCAAACCTATCAATTTGTTAGCTTCCCATGCTCGTCTTCTGTTAACCAAATACTGGATTCTAACATTGAAAGTTGCAAGATTAGGCAAACACCTCTTCAGCACCATAAGATTCCATAAACCATTACCAATCTCGCACCAGTTTTCCTTATAAAATGCCGACATCAGTGTGGTATATGTAATGACATCTGGTCTTATTCCCAACTTTTCCATCTGTACCATGATCCGATATGCTTTAACCAAAATTCCCATTTCACAAAAAGCCTTGATAAGAATATTAACCGAAAATACGTCCACTTCAATGTCAAACTTCCGTGGAACCTCGTTCAGAAATGCCTCTATGGCTCCTAAATCACGGGTTTGAGTCAAAACTTTGAGTGCAGCGTTGAAGGATTTAACAGTCCTACAACAACCATATAAATGCATATCACAAAAAGTATCAATAGCATGCTTAGTCATCCCAGCCTTACCATACAATGTTATAATCCTCATAATGAACCCTTCTCGCCGACCTTGAGGAAGAGTCTTCTGATGCTCAAGCAAATGTTCAATGTAATCAAACCTTCGAGCTCCAGCTAGCCTAGACACCGTGTCTTCAAATGCAAATCGGTTCTCAATGACAAGCGTATTATGAGCGTTGGCCTTAAACAGGTGGAATAGCTTTTCGGGGTCTCTCTCGGCTTTAAGCTTAACGAGGGCAGGTTCTTCCAAAGGTTTTGTATCAAAAACGTGATTTGACACAGCTGCAGGACAACCATTTGAAGTTATGGCAATGGCGGCATGACAAAATCTGCGACTGGTTCGCAGAGAGAGCATGTTTTAGGAGCTTCCTCAGATTGATACATACCCATCCATCAATATCAAGATTCTACACAAACCATTATGAATATATATATCCACTGCCCACTTCACAAGTTGAACAAAACCCAGAAATTAGAAAACCCAATGACTAAAACCAGAGACGATGTTCTTCAAATTTTCTCAAACTAGAACACGCCAATTAGCTAAAATCAAGATTTAGGCACCAACCTGAGAGAAGCTTCAATGCCCATGTGCCAAAACAAAGACCCAGAAACGTAAACTACAATCAAATTAAATTAACAGAAGAAATACAGGCATACAAGTATGTTCTTAGATTGGTGGAGACTGCGAATGAAGGGTTGGATAATAGCTGATTGAGCAAAGGAAGATTTATAAGAGAGAAAGCGAGGAGTTTTAGCATTGTGGATCTGAGCGAAAGCTCTGTGGGGTTTTGGGGGGTTTTAGTTAGGTTTACTTTGTGGACTGTGTGATGGCACAGCGTGCAGGTCCATGGTAAGGAAGCGTGGACTGCTGAAATACATTTTGAGGGGATTGGTTGGTTAAAGGATCAAGCTTCTTTTTTTTGTTTTTCGGATTTAGTCTATGTTTCAAAGAATGGACAGGAAAATTATTATTGGAAACAAAGAAAAATACTTTTCAATACCGTGATAAAACTAAAATTTATTTTATATATTGATACTAAAAACACTGTTTATACATTGCATTTGTATTTCCAATGGTAGAATGCCTGGATGCTTGATCAAATCCTTGTTACATATTTATGTCGCACATTTGTCGGCATATGTATATATTTTTTATAAAGTGATTGCAGAAAGAATGCTTTATTATATGTTGTAGAGCTAACCTCTTTTGGTTCGAGGAGGGTTGTGAGAAAGAATTACCGACACATGATGTTATTAATCTACATATTGGTTATTATATGGACGAATTGGACTTAAACTACATTGGTAAATTAGTAACAGGGCAGGGTAAAACATTAGACTCAACCTTTTTTACGGTCTTGCTAAAAAATTACTCCGTATATGGGGCGTGTAAACAGTAAAAGGTTTGAACGGCCAAGTCCTCAGCAAAATTTTGGTTCAACAAAGGAGAAACTTTAAATAAAAATTAAAACATTAACCAACTATTCTGCTGTCATCTATCATATAAAAATGTAGCATACAATAAGAAATTTAGCATATGCGAAGGGGAGGATGAGAACTTCAAAACATTAACCAACTATTCTGCTGTCATCTATCATATAAAAATGTAGCATACAATAAGAAATTTAGCATATGCGAAGGGGAGAACTTCTGGAAATTGACACAACGGTTCTTTTTCCGATTGACCACCCCCGGAGTTTGCTTCAGTTAGTCCTTTGATGTTATAACAAGCAACCCCAATGCGCCAATTAGAATATACTGAACAAAAGAAACAGAAGGGATTACTTCCTGATATGAATAAAATCATTCTGTCTGTGCATGTTTTGTGAAACTTTTCTGGGGGGAGAAACAAACCTTAATAATAGGCTTTTCAGTCATGATAATTGTTACCCAGCCAACATAAGGTAAAAACCTGAAAATGATTACAAAGTGATTAAATTTGTGATAAGAGGCATGCAACTTCCTTTTCTTTATAAGAAAAAGGGAACAGAGAATAAAATATAAAAGAACTATATATGGGTTAATTTTGTTTTTCAAATAATTTTGGATGGCTCCATTTTCAGTGCACTGGAACAAGCAAAAGTTGAATTAAGAGGGGTAGATAATTCAGTAGAGAAAAGAAAGAAAAAAAGCTTAAAACTATAGCTCAAAATTTTGACCCAGCAGCACAATACGAAAGTTGCCTATGTTCAATAAGATAATTCGGTAGAGAGCTTAAAACTATAGCTCAAAATTTTGACCCAGCAGCACAATACGAAAGTTGCCTATGTTCAATATGTGGAAAATACCCAAAAATAAAATGGAGGCAATACTCTTATTTTCTTTTTTCATATGAAACGAAAAAGGAGGCAATGCTTAGAGTTCTCACCCCACAGCTCTACCCATGATATGATGCCGTTGAAGCCACAGCTGACCATGAGCATACAGAAGCCTGTCATCCCCATAATTGTTATCTCCTGAGGAAACAACATAAATTGGGAGTGAACACTTGAGTAAAGAAGCCATGTAGCAGGAAACAAACATAACTATCAGCAGCATGTTTTGAAACAGAAGAAATACTGAGGTAAGAGCAAAAATATGAAGTATGACACATCTTGGGAGAGTTTAATTGATCAATACTTGAACAACTATTTACATATACTCCAGAAACTGGTACCTTTGGTAAGGACATCAACTTCTCCAGTATCTTGTTGTTCATGAACCTGCAAAAACAATTGATGAATACTGCTCACTGGACCCCAATTGATTTTAATGAACTGATTCTGAAAAAAGAAAAAGGCAGAGACCAAATCTACATCAGGCATGTGAACCTTACTCCTAATTTAGTATGGTCCTTTCGAGAACATCATGATCTCTTTTAAGTTCCTTTCCAACTAACCTAATAGGTCCAAGGTGTATGCCATGAAAGAATGATAACATTACTATCCTTCAAACCATAATGTGGTGAAGGAATAACCTAATCTGTGAGTATAATTTTGATTCTTTTGATCCAACATAATTTTTCCTGCAGATACAATATCAAATGCTTATAGACAGATGCCTGAACCTTGTCCACAAAATCTGATTAGAGTCCTATATTCTCCTCCATAATTCATTATTCCTTTCATGAAGCTCAAAGATAAAACTCAGCACCACCTCATTTCAAAGGCCAAAAGTCAACATGATTTAGCAACATCAAAAGGTGTATTATTTACCTTAATGACACGATGGACAATTGGAATTTCACGGCCCTGGACAAAATAGACAAAGGAAAGGAGGACATATTAGCATGTACTTCTCAATATGGAGAATACATCACCAGCAAATATTGGCACTCTATTAATTCCTACATCACATTATTGACAAGATGCATACTGAATCAATAAATAAAATAAATTTTATTTATAAGAAAAAGTGCTACTACTTACTACCTAACGGAACACACAGATTCCATTCACATATTAATTAGAATGTTGGGAAAGAAATTATTAGAAAGAAGAAAATTCCAATATTTGCTCTTGAGATCACAACTGAAAACTTTCTGCCCTTTGTACAAATACTTAGAGGTTCCAATGAAAGTTCCCAATTATAGCTCTCACAGGCCCTAAGAACATGCTAGTTGACAAAATAGGAAAACAACGTATATCGCAACCCTCAAATGATTTAAATGCCAGAGGATTGGGATTTATTTTTAAAGAAGAGTGGGTTGTACGGTAATTCATCATCATACAAAAACAACAAAGACTGAAAAATGTTCAAATTCATCACGAAATAATGTATCACTAGTATATACTCTTTATCATCACAAGTTCACAACACATTAAGCCAAAAGGCAAGACATGGAGATGATTCAAAAGTATTTAGGAAAGAAATCAGAATGAATACTGAAACAAACCTGACAATTACCAAACATACAAAGATAAATTTACAATATAACAGAGTGAAAAAAAATAAAGGCACTTACATCAACATTAAAAACAACAATTTCTCCTGCACGAATGGGATCTTTACTCATGTGCAAGAACAAAATATCCCCCTGCAAAACATATTCATTCTTATAATTAGTTCAGTGGCAAAAGAAACATATACATAGATTGAGAAACGACATTGCTAAAGAGATAAATCCAGGTACATCAAAGAGGAGTATCAAGAATCGTTTTCTCAAAGAAAGATACAATAACATAAGAGAAGGGAGAACTTTTCTTCTCACTTCTATCAATATGTAGAGCATGCACAATCCTTGTTTTATGATAAAAGTATAAATTAGACAAAGTGAATTAAATTAATAACTAAGACAAATCAAAAGGCATGACAAAACTACTTTGATCAAAATATTATTTGGTACTAAACCATTGATGCCTTCATGCACTATTCTATCTCACCCTCTTGAAACCGGGTTCCATACTTCCAGACAAAACAACAACAACAGGAGATTCACTGCCGGTAACGCACATCAATGCCTTCCATATTATAAGAGCAGATGTAACAATCATACCTGAAACAGAAATCAGACAACACCCACTTAAGTATTTGCAGACAAATTTTGAAACCAGAACAATTGATCACTCTTCCAAAATCCAAGTATGATAAAGGATTACGATTTCGAAATTGACTACTAAGTCATAAAATTTCAACACCAGTTGAAAAAGAAGAAGAAGCACATCTTAAATTTAAATCAGCAGCCACAAATTAGAACCACTACCAAGTAACCAAATTAGCATTTGTTAATCAAATAAAGTCCCCAAACAATTCATTCACATTATTGATTTTTTAATAATACCCTTTAATTATCACTAAGCTCAGTAAAGTTTCAAGCTTTACTCTCCAAAACCGCCTGAAGATAAAACAATGAAAATTAAACGTTGAAAACATCACATTTTGATGCCTACCCACATTTTCTCATTACCCAAATAGATAATAGAAAGTATAAATTCCAAAGAATACGACCCGGAACGAGAAAAATAGAGAGAGGGAAACAGTGGGTTTAAGGGTTTACGAACCGAGACTGACGGCCTGGGTGAGGACCTGCCGGATCTGAAGGGATTTGATAGAGTCCACGGTCTCACCGATCCAATCCATTTCTTCTCTCTTTGCCTCTTACCACCTCCTTCTTTTTCTTCTTCTCCTCCCTTTTGCTTGTCTGAGAGAACTACAATAGGCCGTACTAGAAGGGCCGTTTCTCCGTGCTCTTCAGAAGCCGTTTCTTCTATTTTGTTCTTCGTTAATGTTTAATTTTTTCTTTTAAAAAAACAATTTAACAAGTTATTTTTGTTCTGCAGCAAAAAAGAAAAATAAATAACCAAGGTGGTTGGTGTGAGTGGTTCGGCACTCTCATTCCTTAAGAGAGGTCAGGAGTTCGATCTCTGCTCTCGTACGAAGTCACCGCTTGGCCAACACTTTACCCCTTACGGGCCAACCCGGTGTGAGTGGGGATTAGTCTGGGTTGTGGTTAAGGCTTAAAGGTGCCACCTATAGTTGGAGCCCATCCAGGACCACCTCATGGTTCAGACCAAAAATAAAAAAATAAAAAATAATAATAATAAATTTTATTTGTGAAGTAAAATAAATTTATTATGGGAAAATAAGTTTATTATACACAAAAAAATATTTTAATAAGGGAAGTACCACTAAATGAATGAAAAGATTTTAACCAATGAAGACGTGCCATATCAGCAAAATGATGTAGCAAACTTTACACATATACTCTCTACCTTTCTGTGGAACAAAAATAAAAAACTTTACCCATTACTTTTTTATGACGACTGTTATTGACACTCCAAAAATATCATCCATCTCTTGCTTTTTGCAACAAAAAAGAAACAAATACTCCACCTTCTACTTCTGGCAAATTTTTGGTGATAAAGTTTCTTTTTTGTTGCATCTGACTCGATAAAAATCTTGGCCAAGACTGCTTTTTCCGACAGATATATGAACCATTTTGGCTCACAAGTGGAATTAACATGGAAAGTGTACAAAATTCAACCAGTCCTTAAATCTTTACAGAAGGTATAAGGTTAGTACAATCTTTGAGGATGCCAAGTTTGAGCCGAACAAGAAGTTTGGTGAAATTGAAATTGCCAGTAGAGAAACAACTAATCAAGCACAACTCCTAAAATCATTCATTAAGATATGGTTTGAAAACCAAAAGATATGAGATATTATGATCAGAAATTCTCTTATACGGACATCCGGACGTTATTATCGTGCAGACGCCATGTATTTTGTACTACCCATCTCTGTTTTCCTGCCTGTTTACAATAGGATCCACACGTTAATAACGTGCGGACATCCGGATAAGAGAATAACTGATATTATGATAGTGTTTTTTTTATTTTATACAAGCAATATTGGAGGAGTGAATTGAACCGCACAAAGTATACTTCATCATCATTCAACTCTGCTGCAGTCATATAGAGACCTCCTAGATTCATGCCTTTCAAAATGAACTGTTCGAGATGGAGTTGAAATTCAAAACAACAAAAGAGATTCGTAGATTGTTCCCTTTCTAAGGTAATCAAAACAACAATGGAAGGCAAATATATAAGCATATAGTGGTAATATCAGTTCTTATGTTAGAACATCTTTGAATTTTCAGGCGTCCTCTGCCTTCAATATTCAGATAGGACTTGGCAGTACTAGTGGATTCATAACAAAATATTCAGCTTCCATTGCTTCATCCATCAGGCTTCTCTTTTAATTTTTCGACTTGAACTGATCCTCGGACTTCAGTTGCCTTCCCCTAAAACAAAAAGAGGGAAGGATAACACATGTGTTATGCAGAGCAGCCCTAATGGAGCACAAATTCACAAATTAACCAATAGATAACTCACCTGACAAGGTGCACTTTGCTGCTTATTTAGCGCGGAAAAGGACAACATCAATTAAACGTTTGATGTCATTACTCAACACAAAGACACACACATCTCCGATTTCCAACTGATTGTCTTGCACAAATTTCATCCAACCAGTCTGAAATCTGACACCTTTGCCTTGTTGGCCTAATGAGACAGGCCAAGTTCTTCCATCCGAAACACGAAGGATGGCATTATCACGACTCCGGTTAAGAAGATGTTTCTTGATGAACTTGGCTCCTATATTCTGAAAGGAGAAAGAGAAGCAGGTTAAAACTGAGAATTTTGGAGTGTTTATGATGTAATTTGCTAGCTATTCTTTTCACACTGACATACACAGATAGAAGTTAGCAGATGTTGTGCATAATGTCTCTCTAGAAAGCTTACCAAATAACGTGCATGGATATATGAGGGATGCATAACAACCGTGGAAGAAGGGTATTCTGATCTGAAAGCCTTTGCTCTCTGAAGAGCTCTATCTGTTCCGCTTTCCGTAACTGGATTCAACATCCTAGGAACCTGAGGTCTTCGTTTTAGAAATTTTTGAGTCCTAGACGAGCCACCGACACTTTTGTTGTTATTTTCTGCTGTACTAATCGAACATGTTCTGTTTTTCTTGCTGGGCTTTGTTTTCGGGCATGGTGGAAAATCGTCCAAGAGTTCAACAGAATCATAATCTTCATCAGTTTCTTCCATCTCGGACATTGTTTGTTCCCCATCAACATCTGCAGGCATATAAAAAAGAGAGATGAAGGTGACAGATAGTTAATCTCTGTGGTGCTTCGATTGACTAATTAGTTCAAAAATTGAAAGACAACTTACCCGGTGACAAGGTGTTTGCAGCTTCTATGGCACGGAAAATGACAACTTCAAAAGTAAGTCTAATGTCGTCAACCAACACAAACACACATACATCACCAATTTTCAAATTATTGTCTCGCACAAATTTAAACCAACCAGACTGGAATCTGGCTTTTCGTTTTGCCCTTTCACATTTCAATCCAAGAGACCAAGTTCTCCCATCCAAAACCCGAAACATAACGTTACCAGAATTGTTACTAAGACGTGTCATATGGAAGGAAAAATCGGATGGCAACCACTGAAAATAATTAAATGGAAAACAAGAAAAAGACAATAAGAAAATGTTGAAGAGAGAGTACCATGATTGTGCTCTGTGAAAGTACAGTTGCTTAGTTCTTTTTCATACTGTATGATCTATAAATACAAGTTAACAGAAGTTGTGATGGCAAGCACGGTTGTCTATTGAAAGCTTACCACAAAAGACCGATTGGTATAAGATCGCGTCATGGGAACTATGAAAGAAGGTTTGTCAGATTTGAAAGCCTTAGCTCTCTGAAGAGCTATAACTTTTGCACTTCCAGTTCGTTTTACGACTCTTCGAGTGGTAGACATGCCACTGCAATGTCTTTTGGCAGGAAACTCAGATTTTCCTGTTAAAGAAAATAATAGGATATTTCAAATGAGAACAGAATGGGAGAAAAAACAATAAAGTTGAAGAAAAAAGCAAAACACATAATTCTGTAATTTTCATATCTGATTTGAACAGATGAGAATTCTTAATTCTAATTGACTTCTCAAGCATCATTTCATAAGGTTGAGTGTTTTCTAGGTCTAGTTAAGATGTGGAGCCACATTGTGGAAGTTGATGTTGGTTTCTGCTTTAATACCACTTGAACTTGATTTTCTTGAGTGGGGTAGAAAGTTGTCCAAGATTTCAACAGAATCATCACTAAAATCATCATCAGATTCAGATTCAGATTCAGAATCATCAACTTCATCGGTTTCTTTCATCTCGGGCATTGTTAATGGATAGGCAATCTCTGTGAAGTTTCGGTCAAATATGTGAACGCAGAATTTGGACTTCCCTTCATAGCCAAAAACTAACGAGTGACAGTAGTCTAGAGAGTAAAACGTAGAGAACTTTGGCCAACCCTTGTCCAACCAGGCCTCGTCTTCCCATCTTCTGAGTTCAATTTTCCATTCTGAACCACTTGGAAGCTTAAGAAATACTGGATTTGATAGATCATATCCATATTTCATCAAAAATTTATTGGGAATCCTCTGCGCAACATAGAATGTGTCAGTCAAGTAACAGATCATAAAGTGAAAAACATTATCCCATACTTTTGTAGCTAAGAAATGAGTCATTCAATAAATATATAGCATATAGCTACTGCAGCAAAAAAAAAAATTCACTACCACATCAATGTAGATTCATTTCTCGCTTTCGCTTCAAGCATCAGCACACACATGTATCATGAATACTAGCCGTAGAGGAGAAAAAACACTAGCCATATAAACAGTAGCAGAAAATGTTGGCGAGTCATCAATTTCGTGCAGAAAAGCAGCCATAGTTGAACTTCAAATGTGTTTCAAAGATTTTTCTACAGTTTATGGAACAAAGCTGTGTTTACTCGGTTTAATCTGATGGCAAAGTCCCAGAGGTACTATAAAAGAGAAATTTTTTTATTTTTGTCTCTAGAATCACTGACATTTAACTATGAGTACATGCATCTCATATCTAAATTCTAACAGGTTTCCACGGCCTAAAATAGTTAATTAGGAAACACCAACCATGAGCAAACACCATTTTATCTCAGCAAAAACACAATCAGAAGGAAACTACGGGCACCTATCTGTGGAAACAACTTCCTCATTATGCATTCATGGCTCTAGCTAGCTATGTAAGAGCAAAGTAGCTACATTTCTAGAGAGAGAGAGAGAGAGAGAGAGAGAGAGAGAGAGAGGTGCTCACAAGTTTGCTCTGTTTACAAGTACCCTTTGAGATAATCTTTAAGAAATGGGGAGTGTTGGTGGAAAACGTTGGCCGGTTAGGAATTTTCCGTTGAAAAGAAGCCATTTTTGAAGTTGAAAAGCTTCAAGATGTGTGTTTCAAAGCTTTAGCAATATGTTGTGTCCTCAGTTCTCAGCTAGAAAAGCAGGGGGAGTGTTTTTATTTGATTTGATGGTGAGTGCATGAGGTAGATAATAGAAGAAGGTAGCCAATTAATGAACTGTTTGCCCAATCAATTCAATTGTCAGGAATTCAACTCACAACAACTCAATGCCTTTATGCTTGTTTTTTTTCAGAGGAGTGGACTTTGCATGTCTTGGGAAGTTGGGATATAAATTAGTGTACGAGTCAAGAGTGATGAATGAATAAATGTGTCTAGGCTGACTCTGAGTACCAAATTCCCATATTGATATACCCGGTCGGTATTGTTGAAAATATTATCTGTTTTTAAGCTTCTATTTTTCTTCTTGGTAATTGATTAAATAAAAGGTGAGCTTTATATTTTGACCCAACTATTCACTCAACCTATCTATGAAATGTTTTTGAGTTGTAATCGTTTCATGAAATGCAAAACGTTAAATTTGAATTCGACAGCTTAAGTAGCAATTTAACACTGTGTACATTTTTTTGCACAATCCGAGATGTCAACTATCATACTTTGATTGAATCAATTTTCTCCTTTAAGTCTTATTTCATGTTCATATCAGGTGGAGATAACAACTTCAATTAGCAGAAAGTCAGAAATTATACTTCAAATAAAATCAGACAAAATTATCGAAATTGCAAAATTAAAAAGCACAATCACCAAATTAGGTTTTGAGTCAAACTATAGTTACCAGCTCCATTCCGTTGACCAAAGTTCCACGTCAACCTTCAAAGCTTTGCTCTTGTCAACAAACAAAAATCTAACAAAAGAGCTCAGTGTCAATGGTATGTGAACTTCCACGTGGTACCCCAAATGTGAAGCCACGTAAAACTATTTTGTAAAATTGAGAGTCCATTTACTTTTCTACCCCATAAGTTTCCCTACTATCACAGAAAAGCCATTCTCACATCCCCAGCACACACAAAACTCATTCTAGCCAAAAGGGTACTTCATGTAATTACCTCGACTCTTCAAGGTCAAAATAATTCATGTACTTATATATTTTACAATTTCCTTTTGTGTTCTTATATTTTTGGGTCTGAATTCCTCCGCTTCGAACAGCTTTCATGGCGCTTCTGGTTCCTGGTGGGTGCGTACGAGTGGGCTTTTCACGGCCCGCGCACGTTAGACGAAGGCTAACTACGTTTGCTACCGTGTCCCCAACCCGAGGTGATAGAGTGGACTGGGTCGAAGCAACTTCAGGCTTCTTTGAAAATGACACGAGGCCCATCATGTTATTTGACGGTAAAGCAGTTCATTTTAGCACATAATTTCATTGTTATGTTATCATGCGCTTGGTGTAAATAGAACCCGTTTAATATTATGGGTTGTTTGGTTTTTTCATTTTATGGACAAATAATTTCTCTGTGTTGTTGAATGATGCACCTAAAAAAGTGATATTTTTGCATTAAAAGGCAACCTAATTTGATACGTTATAAGCCATGTTTAAAATAAGTAAAAATGGAAAATAAAGACTATAGATATTTTTACATATTTGATGTGTGAGATGATTTTGTGTTGTGGTTTTTACTGGTTTATGTGTATCTATCTATGCTTCTTATGGTCCTTTATATGTTCTAAACGAAAATGTGTCAGAGTTAAGTTCAATTGGTCAATGTGGACTTGGTTAAACTTCATCACATGATTGCCGATTTTTCGTTTCTTAATCTTTGTTTTACAGGTGTTTGTAACTTATGTAATGGAGGTGTGAAGTTCGTGCGTGATAATGATCGAAATAGGTTCGATTCTCCTCCTCCTTTGATCTTTTGTAGACTCTAATTATGATATATGTCATCCATATGTTTCATGACTGCAAATGTTTTGGTGTCTTATGAGGTTTATCTTCAGTTTTCTGCGCAACACGTTTATTCTTGTTTAAACCACCACTGACAGGAGAATAAGGTTTGAAGCTCTCCAGAGTGAAGCAGGGAAGAAACTGCTAAGAAGGTCCGGAAGAGCTCCGGATGATATTTCAAGTGTTGTTCTTGTTGAACAGGATAGGTATTTACAATGACTTTTGTGTTTATTAAGAGCAGTTTACCATCTTCAAGTTAACTTTATGATAAATGATTCCGACTTTAAATTCCATCTAAATAGTTGTCTTTTCTCACTTAACATATTTTATTTTCAGTGAAACACTTTATCAGTTTGATGCTTCCAACTGCTTGCATTTTTTTTAATCTTAAATAACTTAGAATGTAGCAGATATATCTTATAAAGGGATTATATGAATAAAAATGAGAGCTGACATGGTGAATTTTAGATCCTTCATCAAGTCAGAAGCTGTTGTGAAGATAATGGAATACATCGACTTACCCTTCCCCCAGCTAGCATTCTTTCTACAGTTTGTACCTCTGTAAGTCCTTCCCTGCTTCTTATTTTATAATTTTTGTATGCTAAGATTTGAAACTGATGAAAGAAGCAATCGATGATAAACTGTTTCCATGACTTTATTTCTTCTTGACGGATGCAGTTTCGTACGGGATTTTCTATATGACAATGTTGCAAACAACCGTTACACAATTTTTGGTCGCTCAGACGCATGTGAGATATAGGCATTAGAATACTTAATTTTCCTACTAAAGGTATGTATATTGGCAAGTGCGGATCTGATGAATTTTGGTTTTGTAAGCTAAGTTTTGCTTTTATTAAATAGAGTAAAATTTCCTTCAGAGTTGTCTAATTGACTTTCTCAAGTTGATTACAATATAGTTTAATTTTAACAAGACATCTAGAAGTACAGTGTACATGTGAATTGGGAGAGTAACTCATCTTCCATCAACAATGCTTGGGGTGTTTAATCAAAATGCAGAAAAATTCTGAAATAGAAATTACAGAACTCATCTACATTGCTACCTTGACTAAAACATAGCATTGTCTTCATCTACTCCTCCTTATCCTAGAAGACTCCCTGCTGTCTTTGCTTATACTCTGTTCCTCTCCCGTGCTAAAATCTCTTTGTCGGTCCCCTTTTTGTGGTCAAGTGAGCGCACATGCACACCCACAAGTGTGTTTTGAGTCTATTTGGGGTTATACCATATAGGTATTTATGTCTTTCTTACAGCCCTGTTTACCATCTTGAAGTTTAGTGTTAAACTCATTATGCTCATTCTCAGACGAAAACAAAAAGAAATTCAATCAAGGACTATTAGCAACGGAAGTTTCATAATTTACGAATTTCACTTGTCATTGGCATGATCGGTGTAAGCAACCATCTCGTTAAAGACAATATGAACTCTTTACAGATAAGAAAGAATAAAAAATTATTTATCAGTAACTTCGTACGATATACATATATATGTTTGCATGTATACATATGTGTGTGGTATATTATACAACTTTTGCTAATTGCGGAATTCAAATAAATAATACTGAAACAGTGTTCAAGCCAAACTTAGTATAATGTGATCATTCATGTAGCTTAATTTCCTATATCTGTTGGAGCACTGTTAACTTGAATATAGCATATGTCAAACTGTATTCAAATCTGTAGCAGCTTCTAGTTGTCTGGTTTTCAAGATATATGCATTTTGTACATATACATACATTTACAACATCTGAACATTCACAAATATACATCCATACGTCAGCAGTAAAGTTAGATTCACTTTAGACATGCATGTGTTTCAGCCTTTTCTGATATAAGGAAGTATAATTTGTGGTGGGTTCTGTTGTTCTTTTTCTTTTTTCGGTCTTGTAGAGGAGGTGGTGTTATACCTGAAATTCTTGAGTAGGCAGTTGAGTTCTCAAGAATATTAATTCGATTTCTAGAACTTAAGGCAGATTTTTCAGTGCCTTAAGACCATATAGCTTACCAAAGCCATATGTGTATCTGCAATGAATGAAAATAGATAAAACTTAATCAGAGACTGGAGGTTGATTAATTTTCATTGGTATTAAGTAAATTGCCTAAAGGAAAGAAACTTACCCAAGAATTAAGATAACAAGAGCACTGATCCCTAGCACATATTGATAGCCCTTGTGCCTAGGTTTATGTTTGCCCTCATAGGTTGATGGAAGATGCTTACGGCGTATATAACCGTATTGAGGACGAACAAGAATAATAAAGCCAAGGAAAAATCCTGCAAGGAATCCTCCTATATGAGCTGAATTGTCCACTTTAGGTAGAAACCCGACAGCCATATTCAGGGCAATGACGACAATGAGTATCAGGAGCGCTGTGCACTGAATAGCAAAGTTAGATCTTAGATGCATCCCTCATAGATCTGTGCTTATAGTTATAGTTGTGCTTAAAATTTGTATGAGCTTGCCATATATGGTCTACCTCTCACAACATACATGTGATCTTACAATATTACAGTGAGTGCCACATACATGTTAGAGGTCATATTGATTGTATTTGATGGCGGTTCACGGGCATAGTTGTGGGTTATTTGACTTACCAGTTAAGAGTGATTGAAAGCCAGAGAAAGAGAAAAGAAAGGTTACCTTATTTACGTAGATTGTCCAGTTTATTAGAAGCTCAGAAAGCATGGCTCCCAACAATCCAAAAAGTGCTCCGGATGCACCAACTGATATAGTCGGGCTTGTGGTTCTCATAAGATGCATAGTCGATCCTAAACTTCCACCTAATCCAGCAAGCACATACAAGAGTCCTATTCTGACTGCCAAATTTAAACAGTGGAGAATGGTTAGCATGCACTGATCATGTAAAAACTAAGTTAAAATCTCCTGAATCTTAAGTTCTTACTAAATCCAAATTCCTGCTCAAGTCGGATTCCTATGAATAAAAGGCTCATCATATTGGCAAGTAAGTGAACGACTCCCGCATGAAGCCACATGCAAGACAAGAGGCGCCATCCTTCGCCCTCTTCCACCACTAGTTGCCTTTCAAGGGCTCCTAGTTTTTTTAGACTGCAAGCAGTAGCAATTAGATCAAGGTTTTTCATGTATTGAGCATGCTGACTATGTGCAATAAGTTGTAGCTTAGAGTTGGCCTAGTTGCGCTAGCAATGATTTCTAAATTGGTAGAGTGACCAGACAGATTTCCCGGGTTTGACTCGGGCTGCTGAAATCCACTCTCCCTACATTTTGGGGTGGCATAGAATCATGGGCAGTGAAGTTGCCAAGACCTAGGGGGGAGAATGTGAAACTATGCTAGAGAGATTAGGTTACTTAAGTAAGACATAAGAATCCAAATATCAATTGGAACTACCCCTTTTTGAGTAAGAAAATTCTTCTTTTTCTTTCAAATTCGAAGAGATTGCATAGACGGAAGTATATGAATGTACAGAACCAAACAGAGTATTGAATGGGATTCATGTTCTGAGCAAGTCTCAAGCCTCTAACAATGTTAGCCAACAGGCCGACTCTATAGGTTGCTCTAATTTTCCATACACCTTCAACTTTGTAGGTTGCTCAAATGAGTTATGCTTTAGTCGTAATCAAACTCCATACAATGGTTTCTGTTTTTGTTTTCCACTCTCATACCTCAGTTGATTATTAATTTTAAACCTCCACCCTCCACAAGAAAAAAAAAAAAAAGAGAAGAGAAAATGGTAAGGATTGTGAAACACATTAAAAGAAAAGATTAGCCTCATAAATTCTATTGCGAAACAAGAAAATAAACTGAAAATAGAAAATCATTGAGAGAGGAAATTCTTACGTGAGTCCGGCAGGACCAAGGAGAGGGTTTTCTTTGAAGGGTTGGAAAGAGAACCTCTTCAAAGAAGGAAGAATACACTTATTCTCGTCTATTGATGGACAGTCATTGACGTACATGGTGTAAATGAACACGGCTACATTGGCCACAAATATGATTGGCACAAGCCACGGCACCCATGGCTTTGGTGGTGGGGGGCATAAGTGTGGCGGAGGCATGGAAGGTCTAGCCTTTTCACGTCCCTTCTCCATGTCTTCGGAGGATGGCGGTCTCTTCCCCATTTCGGCCACGGGGAGAAAGGGGAAGGGGTGCACACTGCACCGGCACTATTGGCAGCGGTGGCAGATGCTAATGTGCACCACCAAGTTACAAGGAGGAGAGATAGACGAGAGAAAATATTGGCTTTGGGTGGCAAGGATCGAGTTTGGCTAGGGTGGTAGATAAGTTTGGCAACTCTCCCCGATAATAGATGGGAAGAAATTACTTTATGCCCCTTTTATGTTATAACCTTCCATTCTTCAACAAAAAAACAAACAGAACAGATAACAAAAAGGGAGAAAATAAAAAAAAAGTTGGGATTAGTAAACAAGAGGTTTGACTTTAGCAACATAGAGGAAGCTGTATGATTAATGACCATGCTGCATGATGCTTCTGAACTGCTTTCAATTAATTTTTCATGAAAAGTTAAAAACCAATCCATATTGAAATGTGGTTTCCGTCGGTTTCTCTCAGATTTTATATATATATTTTTAAAATGTACAAATAAGCTTGTTTCATACTAAAACTTAAAAGTTCCAAGTGCTAATTTTATGATACTTAACGATAATTGGATCGGTTCGATTTGGTTTTTGCTAAAAATTACATCCAATAATCTCTATGATGTGGTACTTGGTGCTCAACCGCTCTAACTTATCCCATTGTAGATTCTTGTTACATGGAGAAATTGTGCCAGCAAAACCAACCTGGATATAGTTTAGTATTTGTTACAAGACTTGGCACATCCGCCACAGCCTTCTACCACAAACTTTCATATTCTCAAACCACAGACTTTGACCTGTTGATCGCCAGCTATGATGACTTGTTCCAAATGATAAGGAAGCTGACTCAACATAAGTGTTTTAGGTTTTGATAGGTGTTTCTGGTTAGGCTGTTAGGATTGGCTTCATGCCTTAGTTGTATTGGTGATTATGTTGTCAACAAACAGGGCATTTGTGATAATCAATACAGTTACTCACTCTCTTTGCAGTTGGATGGCTACCAAACAATCCACCCTTTTTGACCTCATAGTAAGCCAACATTTACTCACATGGGCAACTAACTTTGACTCACATTGGCAACTCCAAAATTCTTTTACATTTGAGCCAATTTCCAACAGTGTGCCGGCACCCGGCAGTCAGCCTACTAGCAATAGACCCTTTTTCATCTCCAGTTGTTTTAGTTAGAAAAGAAGGATGTGTATTGATTATGGGGCTTTAAATGATATCACAGTGAAGCCAAGATGCCCCAAGTGTTTGTCAAATCGGGTGTCTTGGTCATGTGAAATTAAGGCCATACTCAAGGGTATCTTGGAATCGATGAAAGATGCAATAGATCGTACACTAGTTACAATTTTTTTCTTTCTTTCTTCAGGATGGTTGTAGGTTCCTCGTGAGATTCGTACATCACGATGACCGCCACACATTTTTCACTAGCACATACTAAAGGGTATGCATATTGGCAACTGCGGATATCATGAATTTTGTTTTGTACCCTAAGTTTTGCTAACAGAATGAAATCGACTTCATCGTTGTCTAATAAAATTTCTGTGAAAAATGCTCGGGTTGCTTAGTCCGAAAAATGCAGAAAAAAATTCTGAAACCAAAAGAATATCGCCAAAAAATTGTTGTGATTACTAAAATTATGAAATACTCATCTGAGCATCTCTCTCACAATCCACAAAATACTGACCTCTCTTAAATCCCCACAATCATCTCTCTCATGTACACTTACATATGAACATTGGCAGGTATATATATACATCAACGATACATATGCATGTGGTTCATACGTATGTTTTGCGTACATAAACAAGTATATATTTTGTTGTGTTATACTTGCAATTCTTCAAGAACATGCAGTTGAACCGTCAAGAAACTATGGTTTGTTCATTACTCAAAACTTATACAAGCTCAATAGTTTTTGACGCTGTCAGGCAGATGCTCTTTAATCTCCTTTATGTTAAATAGCTTACCAAAGCCAACTCCATATCTGCAAATTAAGAATTTTTTTTTAATCAGAGACTGGATAGCTAACTTTCAATGGTTAACCTTGAACAGATTGTTGAAAGAGAAAATGAAATTAGTAACTTACAGAATAACCAACACGACCAAAGCAACGAGCCCTAGAAAATATTGACAGAAGTTGTGCCTTGGTTTACGTTTGACTTGATGGTATGATGGAATGTACTTGCTGCTTACATATCCAAACTGAGGCTTGACAAAAAGAACAAAACCAAGGAAAAATCCGGCGACGAGTCCTCCTACATGACCTGAGTTGTCCATCTTAAGTAGAAACCCAATAGCCAAGTTCAGGGCAGCATTGAGGATGAGTATCATGATTGTTGAGCACTGAATAGGAAAATTAAGAGGTTAGATTAGGTGTGGGAAATAGGATCTATGCTTATGTTCCTGTGATGATATTGTGGTTGTGTTGGAATTTAAGGTTAAGCATTTTGGCTTTTGAGTTTGCATTGAAAAGCTAATTAAATGGAAGCGTAAAGCGACGTAACACAATATCAGAACAGAAAATATAAGCAGTCCAAACTTTAACTGTTGGGAAATAAGACTTCTGCTTATGCTCTTGTGACATTGTGCTTCTGTCCAAATTTAAGGTTAAGCACTCTGAGCTCAGAGTTTATATTGAAAATAAATTAAAGGAAAACCCGAATAGGAAACCACATAGTTTTGGATACAAACTCAATATCAGCACTTTGAGCTTAGAGTTTATGTGAACTTTTATTTACCAGTTAAGAGTTACAGAAAAGAAGGGGAATAACTAAAGAGAAAAGAGGCTTTACCTTATCGTCATAGACTGTCCAGTTTGTGATGAGCTCAGAAAGGGAAGCTCCCAACAATCCAAAAATTGCCCCAGATGCGCCAACTGATATAGTCTTGCTTGACTTGTCGTGTTTGATAATATTAAGGCAAGACGCTACATTTCCACCTAACCCAGCCAGCACATACACGAATACGAATCTATCTGCCAAATCCAAACAGTTCACACAACAGTTAGCTAAGCATTCATCATGTAAAACTGACTACTTGGATTGTAAACATCCTATTCAAGGGCTAAACCAAGATCGAACGATTTTTTGAAAGGATAATCCTTTAAAGATAACCTAAAACATAGACGGTTTCGATCATTGAAATACATTGTTGGATAGCCCTAGGAAAGATGTGTGCACTTTTCTTAAATTTAGAACATCCTTAACATAGAAAATGTATATATATATATATTTGTATCATGAATGTTAATTTCTTACGAAATCCAAAGTCCCGCTCAAGCCGAAGTCCTAAAAAATCAAGGCTGAGCATGTTGGCAAACAGATGAATCAGCCCGGCATGTAGCCACATGGAGGACAAAAGGCGCCATGGTTCACCACCATCCACTACTAGTTTTCTATCAAGGCCTCCTAGTCTTTGAAGTCTGCAAATAGATTAAGGTTTTGCACAGTCAGTAATTAGTAGAAGCTTAATTAAAGATGGCCTAATTGAGAATTAGGGAACAGACAAAAGAGAGAGAGAGAGAGAGAGAGAGAGAGAGAGAGAGAGAGAGAGAGAGAGAGAGAGAGAGAGAGAGAGAGAGAGAGAGAGAGAGAGAGAGAGAGAGAGAATTAGGGATGGTTGCTAAATTGGTATTGCTTTTCCATTTTTCCTCACCCTAGATAGTTTTGTTGAAGTTGGTTATAAAATCACAACTTAAGTGATGGATATCTCCTTTCACTTCCAATCACAACTTAAGTGGATATCATATAGGTTATAAAATCAATTAGCCTAGCTACATTCTTTTGTCTAACTTTTCACCCAATTCCAATTATAACTTGAAATCTTAGGTCCTTAAGATCAATTACTTTCCCCTAATTGTCATTGAAATTCGTATATGTTATGGTTTTTAACCTCCACCTCCCCCTCCCAAAAGAAAATGATAAATTACATAGAAATAATTGCTCTCTAACATTTGCAAAATCCATCTCAATTTCATCACATTAATTACCCTCATAACAAGTTTTGTAATCCCATTAGCATAAATAGAAAAATAAGAGAACAGAAACAAACAAATGAAAACATTGAGAGAGAGAGAGAGAGAGAGTCCTTACGTTTCAGGGGTAGGACCAACCATGCGGTTATCTTTCCAGGGTTGGAAAGAGAACCTATCCAAATAATGGCCTAACATGCATTGATCCTTTGAAATTCTAGATGGGCAATCATTCTCATACATGATCCATATGAACAACCCGAGATTCACCAAAAAGATAAGCGGCACCAGCCACGGAGAGTACCGCTTTGGTGGTGGTGGCATTAGTGGCGGCGCGTAATACGCTGGTGGAGGTGGAGCATAGTATGGCGGGGGTGGATACATTTTCTTTTTTGGTTTTCTTGAAGATATTATATCAAATTCGGTATATGTGTGCTGCGCTGGGGAGGAGGAGGTACACACTGTCCCGGCAGTGTTGGCGAGGGTTGCAGGTGCTGCGCTGGGGAGGAGGAGGTACACACTGCACCGGCAGTGTTGGCGAGGGTTGCAGGTGCAGATGCAAATGTGCACCAAGTTAGGTTGAGGGCGAAGAGAGAGATATAGGTTTTGGGTGGCAAGGAACGAGTCTTGTTGAGTTGTTAGTTAAATAAGGTATGTGTTTTTCCCGCTAATAGATGTGCGGTGGACATGACTTAATGGCCTTCCATAATTCCATTCTTGAAAAAAGAAAAAAAAGGAAGGAAATCTAGCTTTTGGTCTAGTTGTAATTGTCTCTATTTAGTTGGAGGATGTCTAAGGTTTGACTCACATTATTGCGAGGATGATATATTTGTGATGAGTTCGATACCTTATTGTGGATAGTCGCATTGTATGACGTAACTTTGTTGTGCGTGCATTATCTGACTCGTTTTGGCGTAACTTTGTTCTTCAGTAGGACTCTTTTTTGAACCCAAATTCTTCCTATGTTAAGTAAGGGAATAGGATGAACAATGAGTAAGAATGGGATCAACTATCCCTCCTAATTGATCACATTCTTGTATTTACTAACACACATAGGTATTAGAATAATTTCAATTCCTGACTTCCCATTTCTTATTATAATCAATTTCATTCCATAACCATTACTTGTAAGTATTAGAATTTCTTGGAATTGAATTTATGAGAGGAAAAAGATATCTCCAAATTTTGTAATAACTAATAAACGTATACGTTAATGATTACTATTCCCCATTTTCAAATTCAACATTTTTATATTTTGAAATTAAGGCCGTCAGTACCTGAGTTAGACATAAGCTGCGGATATAGTAATTAACACCGAAAATTTGTTGTGATTGGATTTCTAGCTGTGAGGAAAAGGAAAAGTATGACATGCTCCATTCTAGTCTTTTTTCTTTTAAAGTTTCGTATATTTTGTAGTAACGGAAAACTGGTCCGTATAAGTATAACCATAAAAAAGCACAAAATTCTAAAATTGTCCTTCGACTTGCAACATCTAGAAAGTACTTGGCTACTGTCGCCCAAATTGGATCTACAATGATGAAAGGAAAACTCGTAACAAATTACAGGAGCTAAATTTATCATTTGGTGTTTTCTTAATTTTGTATTTCAGTGGTGAATGTAATTAGTTAATCTTTGCATTTTCATTAAAACGAAAACTAATCTTTGCACGACACTACATAATATGTTGAGGTAAAGTTAGTTTAAGTACTAAAAGTAACTAGCCATTAATTGTCTCTCTGAGTTAATTCAATAGAAGCGCTACTGCACCTCCTCCCCTCTCCTCTTTTTTAATTTATTTATTCAAAGATCATATGTGCAAAAAATCACTTGAATCCAAAATCATTTTACCACTCAATTAATGGTTGTAATTTTAGTGCTTTTTTGAAGCACCATATTCGTCGATTTTGTTGGGCATAACTAGATATTTTACCAGTTTTCGCTTTGTTTAATTTTTTTTTTTCAAGAATGATCTATGAATGAAGACTTGAAAAATAGACGGTTTTGATAATTGAAATAAAATTCGTAGTGTGTCCCAAGGGGTGTCCCTCACCCTCAAATAAAATTATATGAGAGATTCCACAAGAAAGGGGAATATATAACGTGCGGACGTCTATATTGGAGAATAACTATATATATAACATGTTTTTTCATATGTTTATAATGGCGTCAGCACGTTATTAACATATAGACGTCCGCATAGGAGAATAATTGTATATACAATATTTATAATCTATATATATAAAGCAAAAGGTAGAGAATGGTGAAACATTCAAAATACCAAAAAATGCCCTTGGTTAATGCAAACATTAAGAATTGAAATTATTAATTAAATGAGGATAATATGGTAAATTCATACTTTTTCATATTTAAAAAAATTAAAATTAAAAGAAAAATAAGATAATGGCCTATTTTTATGGAACACAACTACCCATTATCTTTTTTAATTCTAAAATAAATGTTAATTTTTTTAAAAAAAGCCTCTTGCAGGCGCCGAAGCATGTACGGAGAGGCTAGTATATATGTATATTCTAAATTTACATACTCCACTTAAGTATATCTGGCGTCACTTTTAACATTCCTAGAGGACAGATAAAATGAAAATTAAAAAAAGCCACATTCTTAGGTTTGCCTCCTCAGTTACTAGATGTAGCTACTGTACCTATTTGGTACTTCGGAGGATTTCATATTTGCCTTCTTGACCTTCCACAAGGCCCCATAATTATCTGCCCCCATAATAAATAAACAACTAGTTTGCTTAATTTAAAAAGAAAAAAGAAAAAAAAAAGTGGCAACACACAGTTAATGTTGTTTTGTATACTTAATACTAGCTTCTCCATACGCGCTTCCGTGCCTGCTAGAGGCTTTTTTTAAAAAAAAATTAAATTTATTTTAGAATTAAAAAAGATAATGGGTAGTTGTGTTTCATAAAAATAGGATCCATTATCTGCATTTTGCTTTATATATATAGATATATATAGATACGGACATCATTAATCATATCATGTAGCCCAACAATAGAAAATCTGAATTTAACCTATAAATAAATTTCAATAAAATTGTAAATATCAAATACAATAATAAATTTAGATGAAATTAATCTGTTAATCCATCAAACTCTTTTCTGAGGACAAAGAGCACTTTGTAGTGTTGAAACCATCCCAAGAAGTTCCATTCAAACTCTGTGGAACGGTTAGGTTGCACAGGACCTCGCCAGACATTCGACCAATTTTTTCTTGAAAAGCAATCACCACATCAATACTGTAGAGGTGAGCAGCATTGGGAAGCACAGGTTCCTCAAACAAGAGAGGTTTCCACCCTTGAATAAGGGCATTCTGAAAAATGGTTGTGTTCTTGGGGTCTTGGTGAATCGTTGTACGGCTATCGATCAAAGTCATCAAACCAAATTTCTTGTTTTGATAGTATGCAATGACTTGGGTGTCACTCAAGTTAAAGTGGATTTTTTTGTTAGGGTTTGTGAGGGTGATGTTGAGGGCGAGGTTGTAGGAGAGAGTATGGTTAGTTTCGGTGTAATTGAATCGATTAAGATACGCACCATTGATGCTGAATTCGGGAATTTTGTACCCCGAGTGCAAGGAGATAACTAAATAGGCGCAAGAACCAGCAATCACCACCAGCGCCATCACAAACAGGATAAAAAACACGATCATTTCAATTATTACCAATATCGGATTGTCGATCTTCTCGATGTCTGAACTTTCAGTTGCAAACATGGTTAAGAAAAAACAAGAAATTAATAGTTGGAGGAATTAATGGAATAGAAATTAATGGAAGAAAAAGCAAGAAATCGTTGGAGAGAAATTAATGGATACAAAGACGACAATTCTAAGGTTAATTTATAGCATTCCCCACCCCAAAACCTTCTTAGAAGAGGAATTGAATCCAAATCAATTAAGATTTCATTTATTTTCCTTTGGGGAGAAGGATTGGAAAATTTAAAGGTATATTATCGATTTGGATTTGGACTAATTGATTTTCCTTTCGTAAATTTATCAATTAGGATTTCGATTGCCCCCTTTTATCGTGTTTTTTTTTTCGTGGAAATTTTTGGAAATTTGTTTTGATTCTGTCTTTTTAGAATGCCTTGAATGGTTGAGTTGAGATTAAGTCTCATTAATTTTTTATTCTTTAATTAATTACATAATCAAAATACTTTTTAATTCACTCCTTCCTTATCTTTTCTCTCTCTTCATTGATATTTTCCACACCTTTCCTTATCTTTTAAAAAAATTGAAACTATTTTGGAGAAAGTATTAAGTCTGTCTGCTAGCATCCCATCTTCAAGTTTAACCCTGTTGGTGCCAATGGTGCCGTAAGAAGCAGGGCTAGTGTTCTGGGCTCCTTTTCTCCAAGCATATAACTTGCCCAAGACTCTTAAACATGTGTCTCTGAAATCGTTGGGTATTTAAAAGGAAGGGAAGCTATGGCAGCTATTGCCAACAAACAGCCTCCTTCTTCTTCTTCTTCTTCTTCTTATCTGCCTCCATCCCCTAATCCCCTTCTAAAATCTTATCTCACCTTGACTCTTCTCTTCCACATAGCGATATTAGATTTCCTAGAATTCCAATCCCTAGAATTCCTAGAACTCATGAAAATTGGCAACAAAAAAAAAAAAAAAATCATATTCTTAATTTTTTTTTTTAAAGATTAGGGACTTAATTGAAAGTTAGGTACAAGTTCAACAATTACCAAAAGATATGAAAGCATGACTTGATAGTATTTCATGCATCATGAACGTTGATGATCACATATTAAATAAAGGGCTCCAGTTCAAATCAGACATAACAACTCCCAAAGTAAGCACACCCACCTTTTCTCCAATGGCTTTGACCAAGAAGTTCATTCGTTGCTAAATTAAGGCACTTCTTACAATGACCATCCATAATCAAGATCTCCAGTGCATTGAGCCGCATCATATACTAAATCTCTGTTTTCAAGACTCCAACTTGTGTTTTTCCAAAAGCATACAGAAGTTTACTAACGAGAGCTTCAAAACATAATTTGGTTAACAAATCTTGAACCATCTCATCAGAATACAACGAACTATCAACAGATTTTGTGTTTATTAAAAATAAAAATAAAATCCATTAACCGTGTCTGTTGTACCGAAGAAAACTTCATTTGAGTATTTAATGAAACATTCTTCATACCAAATGACAGCTCCTTGATTTTGAGGACATTTCTTGAGAATCTCTTGACTTGCTAATTGCAAACTAATTGGGGGATCATATTCCAACATTGTGCTACGCCATATACAAGAGGATTACGTTCTCTAGATACACCCTTGGCGACGCTTCTGAATCCTGTATGGGTTATGTTAGATAATTTTGTGAGTACAACATTCAACTTAACCTCATAAAGCCCCTTGGGTGGAAATTGTAGCTGCCTCGAACATTTATATCCTAAAACAACAAGAAGACCTCCATAGCTCACATAAGGAAAAAAAAAAGACATAGATAAGAGACTTATTGCGATCAATAGTCTTTTTGAGTAAAACATGTTTAAACAAAATTGAACTTTGTTTCAACTTAATTGTTAAATCATCTGCATAAAGCAAAATTGAAGTCATGAGCTGTGTACGGGTAATGTGCATATATAACGTTATTTGAATTTCTCGTTAGATTTTCAATATGTAAACTTTTACCCTGGAATTTACAATGTATGTGATAACATGATAGCAAATGCATCTTTTGGCCAAATCATTACATTATTCGAAGAAACACTACTACAAAAAGGGCAAAAGACGACCATAAAAAGACGACGGTAGAACAAAAAACCGTCGTTGTTTTTAAAAAGACGACGGTAACAAAAAACCGTCGTGGATAAGTGACTTAAACAACTAAAAAATGGAGATACTGTTGAGAATTTTTTTATAACGACGCACACAAATAAAAAAGCGTCGTCTTATTAAAAAGCTTTTCTTTAGAGTTAAAATCTGACAAAAAAACAACGACAGCAGGTATGACAAGCGTCGTCTTTTAAAAATCAAGTGTCCTTTTTTTGGTAAAGACATGATTGTTTTGAAAGAACTGTCGTCTATTATATGTAAAGATGACCGTTTTTTTTATAAAAAGGGTCGTCTATTATTAAGTAAAGACGACGGTTTTTTTATAAAAAGGGTCGTCTTTTATGAAGTAAAGACGACCCTTTTTATATGAAAATGGTCGTCTATTATGAAGTAAAGATGACGGTTTTCATATAAAAAGGGTCGTCTATTATATGTAAAGACGACGGTTTTCGTATAAAAAGGGTCGTCTATTATGAAGTAAAGACGACGGTTTTTTTATAAAAAGGGTCGTCTTTACTTCATAATAGACGGCCCTTTTTATACGAAAACCGTCGTCTTTACTTCATAATAGACGTCCCTTTTTATATGAAAACCGTCATCTTTACATATAATAGACGGCCCTTTTTATACGAAAACCGTCGTCTTTACTTCATAATAGACGTCCCTTTTTATATGAAAACCGTCATCTTTACATATAATAGACGGCCCTTTTTATACGAAAACCGTCGTCTTTACTTCATAATAGACGTCCCTTTTTATATGAAAACCGTCATCTTTACATATAATAGACGGCCCTTTTTATACGAAAACCGTCGTCTTTACTTCATAATAGACGTCCCTTTTTATATGAAAACCGTCATCTTTACATATAATAGACGGCCCTTTTTATACGAAAACCGTCGTCTTTACTTCATAATAGACGTCCCTTTTTATATGAAAACCGTCATCTTTACATATAATAGACGGCCCTTTTTATACGAAAACCGTCGTCTTTACTTCATAATAGACGTCCCTTTTTATATGAAAACCGTCATCTTTACATATAATAGACGGCCCTTTTTATACGAAAACCGTCGTCTTTACTTCATAATAGACGTCCCTTTTTATATGAAAACCGTCATCTTTACATATAATAGACGGCCCTTTTTATACGAAAACCGTCGTCTTTACTTCATAATAGACGTCCCTTTTTATATGAAAACCGTCATCTTTACATATAATAGACGGCCCTTTTTATACGAAAACCGTCGTCTTTACTTCATAATAGACGTCCCTTTTTATATGAAAACCGTCATCTTTACATATAATAGACGGCCCTTTTTATACGAAAACCGTCGTCTTTACTTCATAATAGACGTCCCTTTTTATATGAAAACCGTCATCTTTACATATAATAGACGGCCCTTTTTATACGAAAACCGTCGTCTTTACTTCATAATAGACGTCCCTTTTTATATGAAAACCGTCATCTTTACATATAATAGACGGCCCTTTTTATACGAAAACCGTCGTCTTTACTTCATAATAGACGTCCCTTTTTATATGAAAACCGTCATCTTTACATATAATAGACGGCCCTTTTTATACGAAAACCGTCGTCTTTACTTCATAATAGACGTCCCTTTTTATATGAAAACCGTCATCTTTACATATAATAGACGGCCCTTTTTATACGAAAACCGTCGTCTTTACTTCATAATAGACGTCCCTTTTTATATGAAAACCGTCATCTTTACATATAATAGACGGCCCTTTTTATACGAAAACCGTCGTCTTTACTTCATAATAGACGTCCCTTTTTATATGAAAACCGTCATCTTTACATATAATAGACGGCCCTTTTTATACGAAAACCGTCGTCTTTACTTCATAATAGACGTCCCTTTTTATATGAAAACCGTCATCTTTACATATAATAGACGGCCCTTTTTATACGAAAACCGTCGTCTTTACTTCATAATAGACGTCCCTTTTTATATGAAAACCGTCATCTTTACATATAATAGACGGCCCTTTTTATACGAAAACCGTCGTCTTTACTTCATAATAGACGTCCCTTTTTATATGAAAACCGTCATCTTTACATATAATAGACGGCCCTTTTTATACGAAAACCGTCGTCTTTACTTCATAATAGACGACCATTTTCATATAAAAAGGGTCGTCTTTTATGAAGTAAAGACGACGGTTTTTTCAGAAAAAGTGTCGTCTTTACATTTAAATAGACGACGGTTTTTTCAGAAAAAGTGTCGTCTTTACATTTAAATAGATGACGGTTTTTTCATTATCTAAAATGAAATTAGTACATCATTTTTACAGATAATAAACGGCGATTTTTTGGAACAAAACCGTCTTTTTTAGATTTAATAGACGTCTTTGGATATAATAGATGACGGTTTTTTCAGAAAAAGTGTCGTCTTTATATTTAATAGACGACGGTTCTATAAAAAAAAGTGTCGTCTTTACATTCAATAACGACGGTTTTTTCAGAAAAAGTGTCGTCTTTACATATAATAGACGACGGTTTCTTTTAAAAACCGTCGTTTTTACATATAATAGACGACGGTGAATTACCGTCGTAGTTTGACTTTCAAAAAGACGATTGTCGATTTAACGACGGTTTGAAAAAGAAAAAGACGACGGCATTTCCCCGTCGTCTATTTCAATTTTTGTAGTAGTGAAAAAAAAAACAATATTGTATAACTGACAGTTTTATTACCTTACTGGTTTGGTCCACCTGATCAACATCCAATCCTCAAGCACACCACTTGAGGGTTTGATCCACTATGCTGAAAAACTCCTTGCATGTGGAGTTCAAACCTTTACACAACTTGAGCACACCGCTCTTTCTCTCAAGGTGGAAGACACCATTCTCACCTCACAGGGTGACACCAACCCTCGTTACAAGTTGGAATGAAGATTTCT